TTGCTTTTCAGGCCCACGTATTTCGTCCGTTTTTTCTTTGGTTTGCCTATATGTCTTGCTGAACGACCGTCCTCATTGAAGCCCCTTCCAAGTTCTCTTATACTCCATGGTTGGGCTGTTTTTTGCAATTGCAGCTTTTCGACTTCAAACCTTCCTTATATTTGTTAACGGACGTTCTGTGCTGCACAGAGCTGATCTGATGAGGAAAGTTATTTCTTATTGATTCTAAATGGGCAGCAAACGAAAGCAGAAATGATATGTATTTCTCAGTTTTCCAGACTACAGTTGAAGCTCGAGTACAGCCCGAAAACAGCCAAACTTGATAGTGGGCTAAGAAAGCGTATCGTCGTAACTTCTGTGTTGCTTGTTTGGGTTCTAATAGAGACAGTTCGAATTGGTGAAACGAGAAAGTTAACTATCCAACTCACGACGCGGAGAGATATGCTCCACACTCGGTGCTCTCCCTTGCTTACAAGAACCTGAGCAATGTTTAAATAAAAACTTAAGACTCGGAAATGTTGATGAATGAAACTTTTTAGTTAGTTTCAAGTGAAGAATATTGTTGTAACGAATAAGAAAAACTATATATAAACACAGATTGTTTCGTAGTAAGCTAAGATTTTGGCCGGAAAATAAATTGATTAGTCTATAGAAAGACTGTTCTACATACCATTTCAGCAGCTTAACTAAGAGTCACTACATCATTCTTCGGATTCTAACAATTTACTAGCTCCACATTTGGACTAAGATTTCAATTCTCAAATCTAATTCAAGAGAATAAGTTATGCAACGAAGTTCTGAAGAGGCGGTCGCGGTAGCCGAGTGGAAGGCTTGGGTTCAAGTCCCCGTGCGACCAATATCCAAATTTTATAGAAAATTAATTTAAATAAAAAATGAAGTTAAATTTTCAAATTGCGGTTGCCCCTCGGTAGGGAATGTCAACCCCTCCGAGTGTATTTCTGACATCAAATAAAGTTCCTCATAAAAAAAACCATCGGCATTTCGGAGGCGGCTTAGTACAAACTGTAGGTCTCTCCATATATTGGAAAAACATCAAGACACAAAACCACAAATTGGAGAAGGAGCTCGGCCGTAAACCGCTTCAGCGGTTACAAACCGCCAATTATATCTATATATATATTAAGTTTTGAAGGGATAAGATGTCACAACAACAGGGAGTCATAAGTCCTCCGATCGTATTTCATGAAAGGTCCTCATAAAGAGCCGTCAACAGTGCGATGGTGGCCTGTGGGCTCCTCTATTGTTGTAGTTTGATAATAAAGGTATTTACTGCCACAAGAAATTTTCCCAAAACTTTTTCATTTCAACCACTTTTATTCAAGATTAAGCACTCAATTCATTCACTAAGCAATAACAAATAAATTGGATTTTTCAATTAAATCTTCAGCTTTTACGCTTTCATATTCACAGCATAGGGGTTAATTACAACAAACAAACAAAAGCGGGCTGCCAAATGTCATTAAATGCATTAAAAAGGCATTTTTTTCAACAAAAATGAATTAGACTATTGTTCCGAATTTATTTCAATGAATACATACATATATAAATACGAGGGGACTAACAAAAGTTCGGACAGTTGGTGACTTTCAATTTGTTTTTGATAAATCTTAAAACACCAAATCCTTTGCAATTACTTTCTTAGCCTTTCTACCACGATTTGCCAAAATGGAAACAAGAAAACGCAAGGTAGCTGAGGATAGGTCTGATGAAATTCCACCACCAATGCAAACAGAAATTCACCATGTGATTCTCCTCGGGTTTCGGCGTAATTTACAGTAAACAAAAAAAATTCGGTAAATGGTAAATTGCTTATGAAACGATTCCACATTATTTAAAGACTATTTCAAAGTGGTTTCGAAGACTCTAGACCGAACATTTTCCCGTAGAGGACGATCCTCGAAAAGGGCGACCAAATACATTCCACTGTTGACGCCACTGTAGCTCTGGTGAAGTCCAAAATCAACAAACAGTCCCGATTGACACAAGAACTGGTTGCTAATGATTTGATCTTGAATGTAGCCGTGGAATTCAATTCACGAATATTAAGTAATCATCTGGGATACACAAAGAAATCTGCTCGATGTGTACCTCGAATCTAAAATGAGGCCCAAAAAGAGGCTCGAGTAAATTTTGATTAATTTTTCCTAAACAAATTCGGAAATGGTCAGTCTGGTAACTTTGGAAAAGTCGTTACTGGTGACGAATAGTGATTCTATAAGTGCTAACCAGAAGCCAAACAGCAGTCTATCGTATGGAGGCCAACAGAGCGTGCCCACCTGTAAAATTTAAGCAACAAATATCACTAGTAAAAATAATGATGTCACCTTATTTCAGCCGATCTAAAATCATAGCAGAAATTATGCTGGAAAAAATCAGACGATAGCTGAAAAATGCTACAATGAAGACTGCTTACCAAAAATTTTCAAAAATTTTTAACGAAACAGGAAGAAAGAGGATTTGTGATCCAACACCGCTGAAATAACGAGTAATTCTATCGTGATCTCTGGGGCCCAGCACCATATTCCCCAGTTACAGCACCTTTTGATTTCTGGTTATTTTCAAAAATTAAAATAAATTTAGATGGAGAGGTCTTCAATAGCAACAAGGAAATAATTAATGCGGTCAATGCCGAACTCGATAAGCTTAGAAAGCAAGATTTTGCAGACTGTTTTCTGAAGTGGATCTGAAGGCTTAAGAAAAGCATCGAAAGGAATGGCGATTATATAGAGCAGGTGAAAAAGAACAAAGATTACGTATAAGTACAAGAAGCATAATAATTGTTTCTTTTCAATCCCAAAACAAGTCAGATTTATTTCACTGAGCTCTTTGTTGTTGAAAAATTATCTTCAAACCATTAAAATTTGTTTGACGACAAATCAGGCTGACACTTCATTCCTTGCAATAGCAATATTTTCTAGCAATTCCGAAAACCAGTAGCCATTCCCCCAGCGTTTTAAATTTCTGTAGAGGTAATTTTTCTTCTGTGCACTTGTTTCCTCATAATGAGTAATGAATTTATCTTGATTATTACCGTCTTGTACTTAGTGGAGGTGTGAATCAGATATAGGCAATTGCTCGCAGACCACATGAGCCATTAGAGTAGTTCTATGGGCACTCTTTTGTAGTCAACTATTGGGTCAACTAGCGTCTCGCTACTACCCTGTTATTAGCTCTCGACATCATTCAAAAGTTATAAATTGTCAACCCGTGCAATTCTGACATGAAATGAAGCTCCTCATAAAAAGCCGTTCGGAGGCAGCGTAGTATAAATTGCAGGTCCCTCCATTTGGTGGAAAAACATCAAGACGCAAAACCAAAAATTGGAGAAGGAAAATCGCATCAGCGGTTACATAGCTCCATTTATGTAACTACATATATATACATATATACATTATATAAAGAATTTGCCATTTTGTATTAAAAATGATTTCGAACCAGTGCCGCCGTTACTAGCATGTTGTGGCTGAACTAGTTCTGGAATATTTGATTTTTTTTTTTTTTCAAAAACTAAATCGCACAAAAAGAACTGAATCCATGGGGAAACGAATCAATTCCGTCCCCAGTTTTATCAAGCGGATTGTAGATTACGTTGAGATATGTATGTGACAATCAATATGCTGAACCGAAACGGAAAACCCACCTCAAAGCCGTTCAAAACTTGAGTCAAATCTTGTTCTTTGGTTATTTCTGATGTTATGCGCTCGGGGCTCTTTGAAGAAAGCAAAATGATAAAAAAAAGATGAAAAGTATAATAGAAGATTGAACACAACTTTTTCGTTAGTTAAAGTTTTATTAGGACTTTTTGTCTATTGACACCTTTATAATATCAAATATAGAATCCAAACAAAATATATAGAGCCTTGAGGCCAGGTATTTCTACGAGTTATAATATTACTCGTAGGTCTTTTTAAAGGTAATCCGTAATTTTTGGAGTGAAAAGTTTTAGAGAGTTACATCTCGCGCATAGAGCGCGAATGATTTAAGGTAGATGGGGGTGTCGAAAATATGGAGAAAAAAAATGAACATCCTCAAGCCTGAGCGTCATGTGAGCACTGTTTTGAAGCTACGCCACAGAAAAGACCTCTTGAGCCGAACTTCCATCTGCGAATCACTGCAACAAAATCGGTCCATTTCTAAGTGGATAGTAACTGGTCATACTGATAATGAAAAGTGGGTCACTTACAGTCACGTCGAATGAAAACGGTCGCGGTCAAAGAGTAGTAAATCGGCGCAAACGGTCTCTAATCAGAATAAAAGGCACGAGGGTTTTGTTTCAAGTTTGGTGTGATTTACAAGAAATTAAGCACTATGATCCGAGAGCTGGGTTGGCAGTTCTTATAGCTCTAAACTTTCACCAATTTATTAGCATTAGCTCCTATCTATAGCGGATGATTCGACTGTTGAGGACTTGCCCTAAAGAGAGGCCTCTGAAATTCGATTGTTCAAATTTTTTGTCAACAGGAAAAAGGATTTTCATGAAAGGTTTGTAATGGCATTATCTACAACACGGCAAAAGGTTATTGAGCGATATTTGAGTTGGTTAATTCTAATTATGGCAGATAAAGCCTACAATTTAAGGCAAAAAACAATGGATTGCCGCTATTTTACCTTTGAAAACTAAAATAATTGGCTGTTTTCAGAAAATTGAACCTGAGTTTGCTTGAAGCAGAGAGATTCTTAATTAAAAAATGATGATGAGAAACAATATTTCTGCAAAACTTAATATTTTCCTTGAATTATTTAATTAAATATTTTATATTGATTTCCAAACGTTTTCAGCACAATTTTCATGGAATATTTTTTACTTAAGACACCTTTGTATGATGGCACACATTTTTACATAAGAAAAAAGTTTTAAAACAAATTTTCATTTAAGCACACATATATTGAAAATAAGTAGTTTATGTGTAAATATGAAATGATAAATGAAAATTCCTTTATATTTCATTCATATCACTACATGGTCCCTTTAAACTTACCCCCAGTTCCACGTAAATCGTGTAGATTGGATATGGCAACGCAATCACCATGCCACCAAGCCAAGTTGCACAGCAGCAAACAAACGCCGGCAGGCGACCCTGCAAAGGATCACTCAGCCAACGCATGCGATCCCAAGCGATGAGAATGTGCGAGATGATGGCAACATGCAGCGGTATGTCCTGCGGGCGAAAAAAAATAAACAAACAAAATGACAGAGATTAAGAAGGAAACAGAGAATATTGATGCAAAAGTTCTCAAATGTCAATGTAATAACATTCAAATTGAAAAACTGTTATTGCTTATGTCAGCATAAGCGCTGAAAATAATTCACTTCAATTCTGTAAACTTTCTAATTAACTTCCTTTGATTCTCCGCCATAGTAGTGCTTAGTGGTGTTTTTGACTTTTCAAACCGATATTAATATCCCTTTAAATATGCAAATATATTTTTCTTCGAATTTATACTTATCATGTTATTTTTGTTGTAAAAAAAACCGCTTTGATGTTTTGCCAAGTCGGTGAACTTGCAAAACTTCCACACCCTAATTGACTTCAGAACACCGCAAAATTACTTCCTCATATATGTATTGTATGTGTGAGTATCTGCCGCAGTTTTGTCGGTATAAAAGTGGTGTAGTCTTCGTAAATGCGCTGGTTAGTTTTCATGCATTTTCCTGAATTATGTGTGTTTTTTTTGTGTGAAACATTCCAAAAGCTCTTAAAAAATCACTCCTTGTTTATTTATAAATATCCTTCTTCAAGCCAAAGTTGGTAGTTTTTCGTATTTTCATTCATTTGAAATGTATATTTTTAAAAAAGTAGCAGTAAGGACGGATGAGGTGGTGAAAGTTTTTGCGATTCATTTAGAAGTGGCCGGTAAGGGTTCAAGCAACTCACAACTTTTTTCCTTAGACAAGGTTTACTCTAGGCAGTCATTTAGCATCCGTTTGGAGTGCAGCTAAAGTGAAGAGATGTATACACTTTTGCTCTGCTTAGGAGCATCACAAGAATCACCAATGAAAATTAGTCTTGAATGATGGACCCTACTTTTGATTACGAACTTTACAAACTTGTTATGGGCGCCGCTGCTCTGTCTTTGTTAAAACTAAGACTGACATCACGAACGTTCAATAAGTGCGCTGAAAGAGGTAAGAGGTGCAGAAGTGGAAGCCCTGTGTAATCTACCATGTTCTACGTCTCTATTAAGAAGCGCAAAAGTGGAATACAGCGTTAGTTATGGAAAAGAGACTTCGTCGCTGGGTCCTAACAAGCAATCCGCTGACCCTATAAATATGTCGAATTCAGGTTTGGCAATTTTTACGCAAGGGCGGATGAAGAAAGTATCTTCTGCAAAATTGTAGAATAGTAGTTGTAGTACTAGATTCTAACACAAGAATATTCGTTAGACAATTTGGCTGCCCCTTGATCGAAAAACTCAACACCAGATAGATCAAGTTATGATAGACGGAACGCATGTCTCTAGTATTCTAGAAATGTTTGCGCTCTGACTATCGACTCGGATCACTATCTTATGGCAGCACACACATTGAAGGTGAGACGTAGATAAGCTGCAATTACAACTGGCAGCCGAAAGCTTTTCTACTCGATTTGCACACCTACTTTTTGAGTGCAGTTATCAGCAATTCGATATTAGGGAACTGTAGAGGATCATTTTGGGTAATCTATTTGCCACCGCTACGAAAAATTTCTGCATATTGAAGAATAAATGTTCTAAAGAGGAATATCGAACTGCAGTAGAAAGAAAAGAGACTTCCTTCCGTAAACCGTTTCCACCAAGTGCGTGGGTATAAAGAGCATGAAAAGCTGGTCGAAAAGATTAATTTATTTTGTTTAATATCTATTTTATTCTCTTTGGTTTTATTTTATTTTATTTAATTTTATTTTGTCTAATTTTATTTAATTTCATTTTTAGCAATTTTATTTTTTTAAATTTATTTTATTTTACTTTAAGGTTTTAAAAAAATGAGGCAACTTACTAAATGTTTCAAGATAAGATCATACTCATTCAGCATCAAATGAGAGGATTCTCAAATCAATGTCCGTTTATGAAGAAGTGCGATGAATGTGTTTGTCCGAAGAAAAGAAAAGGTGCAGGTTTCTTTGCAGAAAACGGTGGGACGAAAGCAAGCCCGGCGAGTCGATTGCCGCACCCTGACACAACTCAAGTCTGGATATTGTAGCAGGTTCAACTCCTACTTATGCAGACTAGGCCCCAGCATAGCCAATGTATGCAATGCATGTGGAGAGTCTCTGCACGACACTAATCACCTCTTCACATGCCCTCTCAAACCAACTTATCTAACCCCCTCTCCCTTTGGTCCATCCCCGTCGAAATACCTCGTTTCCTGGACCTCCCATTAGATGACTTCGGCGACTTAGATTGATCACACCTGTTCCTAAGCGGGGTTAACGAACCGCTACAACAACAACAACAACAGCCAATTACCTTAAAATTAGTCTTCTCATTATGGCGTATTAACACCTTATTTTAGTGACCGCTTTGGCATTCAAGTTAGTAGATTCAGCACTGACCAGGAATTCACCACTGACTAAAAATTCACCACTGAAAAGGAATTCACCACTGGGTATTAATTCATCACACAATAAATAATTTCATCCCTGAAAATAAATTCGCCATGTGCCAAATATTGGCCTACCGCAATGAGATAGAAGCATAAAGAAAATTCGCCATTAACACGAGCATCGACGACCAGTTACATTAGAGTTATGAGGAATTCTTTCATATAAAATATATCTCTAAATTAGTTTCCTTCCAAATAAAACCTGTTAGAAAAAAAACTATTTTTCATAATTCATTTTCAATTTCAATTATAAAATTTGCTTTCTATCATTTAAATTTAGTACTAAGTAACGAATGTGGGAATCGAAAGCATCATTTTAGATTTTTAAGCTTTTTTTATAGAATAGTTTGAGCAACTTGAGTGTGACAACACAATCGTTGACCCTTAAATTAGCCGTAAAGAATGGGATTAATTTGAAACTCTTGAACCCTGAAGGAAATGAAGTTCGTGCTCCACTACAATGGCTATAGATATGTATCTTCAATAACAGTAGCCACTATTGCATACTCAAAATACGTTCCTCAGCTATTTTAGGGACACTTAACCTTCTTGACTTTAATTACATTTAAACGAGAGCAATATGGCTTGACAATGAGTTCAATACGGAGCAACCTATTAAGTATTCAAGTCAATATTTGGCCATTACTTTTAGCTCAACGGATGTTAAACGGCGTCAAATTGTTAGCGACTCTTGCTGTCAATGGCAAATGCGAAAAAAAACTAACCAAATTAAATGAGCTTCCCAAAGCAACCGTACAATTAAAAGCAAGGAAAGGCAAAGAAGAAGGGAAACTGTGAAAACAATATACCATAATTTGAACAATTTATTGTTATTTAAAGAAGACGGCAGAAGACTTCTCAATTCATTAAAACAGATCAAGTTTAAAACCGAAAACAACAACAAGCAGTTGCTGGTAACTCGAGCAGTTATTATATTAAACTGACTCTGAGGAAATGGAAGAAGTAAGGATGAAACTTTATTTACATACAAATATACCTGCAGTTGAGTTTTGAACAACAACAGCTACTGCGCTGAGGTTGGCTTAGCAGTGTCTTAAGGACTTGGCCGCTCGGAGATTTTAAAATAATTTAATTTATGCCTTCTGTGTTTTTTTTTTCTATCTTTTTTTTTTTGTTGTGTACGCGTGGAAAGTAATGAAAGCAATTACCGTTAATGAATGTTGTCGATAAATATGCAATACAATACCTGCGGACACCATGGCAACAATTGCTTTACCGAAGCTGAAAGCGTATATAAATAATTTTTTTTTACTTCCGCTCTAACTGCTTTGTGTGTGTCCGAGCACGTGTCAAAAGCGCGCCTTCAACAAAGTAATAAAGTGACAAGGTGAGAAGAGGAGCAAAAACGGGACGAAGAAATATGCACCATCACTGGAAGAAAATTATTTATCGTTGTCTCGCAAGGCATAATTAGTAGTAGTATACATATCTGAAAGCACCTGTATTAGGTAGGCACTTAACTCCTTTAGTTACTTTGTTTGATTTCATTCAATTTCATTTAACTTATTTCAGTTACATTTATTTTACATTTTATTTATTTTATTTTATTTTATTTTATTTTAATTTATTTTATTATATTTTTTTTGATTTTGTTTTATTTTATTTTATTTTATTTTATTTTATTTTAT